CCCACCCCCCGCCCCTGGACGAAAAGAACAATGGCAAATCATCATGCTGCAATTCCTGAGAATCTTAACGTTTTTCTCTTTTGTGTCTTTTTCTACGTCTGATTTTCACCGTCGCAGGCAAAACTCGCGAAATTCCCAGGGCAGAGCAAACATTTACTCGCTCCTAAGGTCATCCTGAGCGTGCAGGTGTTTGGCCGAGGATATGTCAGCATGAAGGCTCCATACAAGATGGCTTTCCAATTCATAAAACCAATAGGGGTCCTCAGCTCCCTCTACTTATCTTCACAGCAGCCAAGCTAAACCATACACGGGGCAGTGGCTATTGCTAAAATGCAATTGAAGGTTCAGCACGAGGCTGGAAAGGAGGGGGGGGGGGGGGGGGGGGGGGGGGGTACTTTCCCAGTTAAGCGGGGTTAGGATGTGGGATCAAGGGGTATGGTTTGAAACTAATGGTTCGGGTTTAGGGTCTAGGGTTCAGGGGTACTTACGGGGGCGGGTAGGGTTAGGACTAGGAGGTTGGCCGAGGATATGGGGGCTTAGGGTTCGGGGTAACCGTGCTCTCGTAAAGGGGCTAGGGGTAGGGGTTTAATATGCCGTTTGTGCTCACAAAATGAAGCAAGATAAAGTCCAAAAAGCATCCTGAGGTTCGAATATGAGCCTCGTAATCTCGCTACGTGCTGGAACACCTCGGAAGGTACGAAGTATGAAGTCCTTCTTCGCTTAGATTTCTAAGCGAATGCCATACATTGGGACAAGTAGGTTATCAGCAGGAAACCACAAAAAAGTACCGCCGCTCGCGAAATGGTCTTAGCTTTTAGGGTTAACAGTTTGGGGTTAGGATTATGGTTTTGTTTTTACGTGATTCCAACGTTTAGAGTTATGGGTCAATGGTTTCGGGGTTTGTTTTCAATGCTTTCAGTGTTTCAAGGCTAACAACATTGAGGGTTCTAGGGTGGGGGTGAAACACTGAATAAAGGGTGGGGGGTTTAGGGTTAGGAATAAAGGGCTGTAGAGCTCAAAGAGGTTGGGGGTGAAACCACGAGTACTCGGCCCCCGCCGTGCAGTCCAGAACGTGCCACCCCAAGAAAACGAGGCTGAAACGTCAACCGTCGGGCACGCCATTGATAACTTCGATCGGCAGCCCCGTTTTCATTTCGCGCCTCCAGACCCGCGGCCCCGGTGCCCATGTACTGGTGGCTTAAAGGGTTCAAACATTGGGCACCTGGGTTAGGGATACAGTTTAGGGTTAGGAAGCTTAGGATTGAATTGGTTTCAAGAATACATTTTAGAGTGATTTTAAAATGGTCGGAGCGTTTTGGGGTTTCAAGGCGTACGGTTTGGGGGGTTATGGTAGTCGCTCGAGTGTTTGCGATGGAGAGATGGTTCACTGAGGGCAAAAAAATCGCCGTTTACGCCGACAATTTTGGTGGAAAAATTAGCAAAAATTCCAAAACGATATAATGGGCCCGTAGTGCAAACATCACCCCCCATGAACCACCTGCGTGTGGTATGACTTTTCCAGCTCAGGGTTTAGGGTACAGGCAATGTGGTCAGGTTAGCGTAAAGGCTGTCTCTTATACACATCTAGATGTGTATAAGAGACAGGATAGAGAGATTGAGAGAGAGAGGCAGATCATTACCATGGAAAGATTTGCTAGACTTGTATCAGGGTCCCGTTTCGATGGGGCCCGGGAGGGCGGAGGGGTTGGGGCCGGAGGGTGGTGGGGGGGAGGGGGCGCTGGGGCGGGGGTGGTTTGGTTGCTTGACCAGTCATATTGAATCCATGCATTCATCCATCTATCCATCCATCCATCCATGCATCAATCAATCAATCAATCAATCAATCAATCAATCAGTCAATTAATCAATCAATCGATCGTTCAACGAGTCCATCAATCAGTCAATGAATCAATTCATCACTCAATCAATTAAGCAATCAGTAAATTAACCAACCAATCAATTAGTCAATCAATAATCAATCAATCAATAAATCGATCGTTCAGTGAATCAACCCACCAAATCAATGAATGTCTTAATCACTCAACCAATTAAGCATTCAAGAATCAACGAATCAATCAATTAGCCAATCAATCAATCAATCTATCAATCAATCACCCCATCAATGGATCAGATCAAATGAGGAATAGACTACAGAGAACTCCGAAAAAGAAAATAACAATGTCGATTTACAGAAAATATAATCAAATTCATTAATCGATAAGCAAGAAACTCTCGAAACGGACCGATCGATTAACCACAACGGCAGAAATCATGATTAATTTCGATTTTAGAATTACAATAAAATAAAAATCACACCGTATACAAATCGCAGAAATACCGACCCATGAACCCCGAACGCAACGCATAACCCCCGCCCCCCCCAATTACTCCTAATAAGAAAGGAAAAATCTGTGCGCTAAACAGCCGGAAGGGAAGGGGGAAAAAAAAAAGAAAAAGAAAAAAAAGCAGCAAATGGGCGGAGAACCCCCTTCTCTTTCGCCTCCCTCCCTTGACCTAATAAAGGGTGATCGCATAAGGGAAAAAAAAGAAAAAAAAAAAGAAAGGGCCCGCGATGCCGTCGGATGGAAGAATGTTGACGCATAGAGACACAGAATTGACCGCGATCGCGATTCAATCGGACCTGATGGGGAGCAATCGTCGGGATCGCAATCGATATGGTGAAAAAAACCTGCTGCCTGTCCATTTGGTTTCTTTCCTGTTTGGGTAAGTTCCAGAAACAGGAGGAGGTGATTTACAACACTCCTGACGGGCGCGCCGGGTGTGTCAGGATGCGCCCCCCCCTGTGGCCATCCATGCGTCCACATGCAGATCACGCACGTGGCTGCCTCCTTGTCCAGGTGCATTTTGATGGGTCAACGGAAGTTTTAGAAGTTGTATGTCTGACTGGATTGTTTCATTACTCTTTCCTTTTATTTTCTATTTTGGGAAAGGCTGGGGGCTCCGGTAGTCGAGGGCCGGATAGCCACCTGGAATTTTCCTAATGGGGGCTTTTTCAATTCTGAATCTGTGGTGTAGCAGCTCTAGGGTCTGTGTACTCCTCTCTCACCCCCTTATGTCTCTTTGTCTCACCAGTCTCTTCTTCAGCGAGCTCCTTTTTTTTCCTCAGCTTGGTGGATACGGATGCATATGGACACTTTTCTGTCGCTCTGTTTATCACTGTTCTTCTTCTCCTTCTCCTTCTCCTCCTCTCTTTCTATCTCTCTCCCTCTGTGTGTGTGTGTGTGTGTGTGTGTGTGTGTGTGTGTGTGTGTGTGTGTGTGTGCATGTTTACATGTATTTATACATAGTTTTGGACATTTATGTATAATTATATCATTATTGTGACGATATATATCCTGTCTCTTATACACATCTAGATGTGTATAAGAGACAGGGTGAAAGATCGATCACGGCCGGCGCGCTTTCTGAGAGATAACTCATCGTCTCGTCGAGGAAGTTGGGCAGCCTGTCCTCCTCGTTGAACGCAGGAATGATCATGGACAGATACTTCGTCGCGGGTTCAAACATCGATGGGAGCGGAACCTTGGCCAGAGAATTACAATCCTCTAAGTACCCCTCGGCCAGCGAATTACAATCCGCTAAGTACCCCTCGGTCGCCAGCCTCCTCCCATCATCCAGTTGAGAAAGCCATTCGAAGGCATAACTCGACAGCCACACCCCACACTCAGAGTTAACCCCACCATGATCCCGACAGGCATGGATGACCAGCCTCCCACCCACGTGAGCGCTGACATAGCCACAGTCGTTACCTTGGTCTCCGAGTCCGAGTGTGCTGTCCACGTGCAAACTTCGTCCACTTCAGGACCGATGATGGGCGCCAGCAGCCACCCACGTCCAGTCGAGAGAGGCCTTTCCCTCCC